CCTTCCATACACAGGATCAGGCAGGGTTCCACATAAGCACATACCTTTGAATGTACGTTTTCTCTGGTCTCCTGGCCCTTGCACACACCCATGTTACCCTGAATTGGAGAATTGTTTGTGGTTCTCTTTTCCTCTACAATGATGCATCGTCCTGGTTCTTCAGTTGCTCTCAGAGTACCCTCAAACTCAAAATGCTCCTGTATCTAGTACCATTGCTCAGCTGTGGAACTTGCTTTTTTCTTTTAATTATTAATGTCCTAGAGGATACATGTGCTACAGTGTTGTGCGTTGGGGACACAAGGTAAGGGTGGCATGGCCTTTTCTTGGTCAGTAGATTGATTTCTAGGTTCCGAAGTTTTCCCTGCCTGCTGTCACACATTGTTGCCTCCTAGTCCTTACCCAGCCAATTTCCTGAGCAGTGTATTCTACTTCCTTAATGAGCTGGGCCTTCCTGACCCAGGACAGCACAGGTCAAGGTGGAGAAGGCCCAAGGCAAAGTACTGCCATGGGACGGGATCCCTAGCTGGTCCACATTCCAGATTGTTGCCCTGTCTGGAGCCAGAGAATCAGGTCCCTTTTCTGGTCTGCCTGCTTATTAGAACTCTGATCCTGTTAAAGCTCAGCTGTCTGCCACTGGTTAGGTTTGAAGACCCTTATTCGATATTTTCCTTCCTGAGCTACAACTACCCCTAAAACTCATGGTTCTTATGGCACCTTGGGGGAGTGTCCAGTGACCCTTTCGTACGGGTTGCATATCCGGTTTGCTTGTCTAGGTTACTGGCTCTCCTGGCAGCCTAAGGAGCCTTCCTCCATCTGAACTGTCTTCACAGCAGCCTGGCCTTTGGCTTCTGCCCTGGGGATTAAGTGGCAGAAAGATGGTGGTTCTCATATAGCATAGCCTTCTCTTTCCACGCTGTAATTTATTCAGCTATGTGGGGAGATGCCCAGCCATTGTTTTCTGACCTGCAAGCCTCCTTTCCACATTTTTGCTCCTAAGCAGCCACTTCTGAGCTGTGTCCTTACCAGTGGAGCTCTGGGATCCTTGGGAAGGAGCATGTCTTTTCAGCAAGCTCCCTCTGGTCTGGTCATTGTGAAGAAGGGCTGCTTGTGATGGCTTTGACACTGGGGGTGACTCTGAGACTGGAGGTGGGACCTTGAAGTTTGAATTTTGCAGTCTGACTATGCTTTCCTTTTGTAGGTGGTTTTAACACTGAGGCCAGAGCTTTATCCCCATCACAACCCACAGTGACCAGAGATGAGCCAGAAAGTCAAGCCCTGGCTCGAAAGTCACCAGCCCCCAAGGTTAAGAAGCCAGGGAAGAAGCCACCAACACCTGGCCCTGAGAAAGCAGAGACAACTACCGGGGAAGGGTCATGTGATCCCTCATCTAGCTCTGGTGCCAGCAGTACCAGCCCCAGCCCACCAGGGCCCACTCTGAGGGCACGCTTCCGTAGCCTGTTGGAAACCGCCTGGCTCAATGGTGTGGCACTGCCTACTTGGGGCCACAAGGCTTCAGGACCAGACCGGCCTTCACCTCACCCCCAGCTCCTGGGCAGCCAGAGCCATCACCTTTAGCATCAGTACCTAATGTTGTTGGGACAATCATCTGGGGACCATCTGGGACCTGTGTTGACATCCAGCTGCCCAAAGCTAATAGTGAATAATAGGTCTGGGCCCACCTAAGTGGGCAGAGACTTTGGACCTTTGAACTTGAGGGTCTGTGTTACAAGGGATTCCTTCCCTTGAGAAAACCTGTGGGCATTGGAGCCAACCTGACCTGACCTTGAATCCTGGCTGCTGTGTTCCTTGTTGCGTGTCCTGGGCAAACACTTCACCTCGCATGAGCCCTTGTTCCCTATTTGTAGAATAAGACAACACAGCCTACCTCACAAGGGTTGTTGTGAGGATCATGTCTGATATACACCTATTATGATTTGGTCTGCTTGCCCAGGACAGGGCTTTGACTTCAGTCAGGCTGTGGGATAACCAGATGGAGTCTGGTAAGTCTCCATGTGTCTTGGAGCTGGTTACCTTAGAGTAGTACGTTGTACAATGTATATAGCTCATACACTTCCCGAGTCCACTGCTGGTGCAGGGACCTGGCCTGGGGCTGGTCTGAAGACCCTAGGTCTGCTTTGATTCTTATCAGCGACCCTCCTGGGCTGCATCTCACACCCTAATAAAGTTGTACCAAGCAGCTTCAGGGACCTGACAAGCGGTATCAGCTCAATGCCAGGAGGTCTCTGAAGATCTGGACTGGGGCCTCCGGTATTTCCCAAGGCCACCTCCCTGTAGTGGGCTGACCTCAGCTGATGGGTTCGCAAGCTGTGGCTCCTGCCTTATTTAAGGGGTTTGATGAGACTGGGCCCTGGGGGCTAGCTATTAAAGCATTTGGCTTGTTTTTAGAACTGGGACCTAGCTTGTATTTGAGGGATTATGAGTTGATGTTGCATATCACCCTTCACCAATAGACTTACCTCTTCTGCCCAGAATGTACTAGAGATTTCTGGTACTCTGGTGTGGATCACTTCTGTCTCTCCTCTCACACCTAGTAGCTAGCCACTCCAACCTTGGAAAGGCCTTCCCACAATTATGGAGAATCTTAGAGACTGGTGGTCTTGTAACTACTGGTTATCACGTCCTTGCGCCTGTCTCCTACAATTGTGCCCACTAGAGTCTGGAACTATCACCTCTTCCTGTGCAACCCATCAACTTTCCCTGTTGAGAGTGTTCTTAGACCCCACCCTCAACACTCCCACCCTGCCCATGGCTCAGTCCACCAGTGCTCGCCAGGACTGTGTACAGCTAGCCTGTGCCCAGCTACACTGGCCACCTGAATCCACCTGGCCTTGAGCAGGTTTGAGGGGTTTGAAGTGGCAACTGCCATTTTCCTTGTGCAGGCCCAAGAAGGCCCCTTGGGTGGGAATGCCCTTTTTCTCACCAGAGACTCCACAGGCAGAAGTTCTAGTGAGTTTTCCTGCCCCAGCTTCTCTACTTCTGGGTGTGTGTGTGTGTGTGTGTGTGTGTGTGTGAGAGAGAGAGAGAGAGAGAGAGAGAGAGAGAGAGAGAGAGAGATCCTTGGGTGGTGGTTGAAGAGGTCCAAGTTGAGCAGCCATATTTGGTGATGGCCTTGGCAGAATCCTGAGGTGGCTCAGGGCACCACATGGTTAGAACATGTGCATGTGTGTCTTCTGGGTGGTCTATAGAGGCTCCCTGCACCTCAAACATACCACCTCTAAGCACAATAGCTGGGTTAAATTCTCACCCTCTCACCTCACAATGGGGATTAAATCTCAGTGTGAACACTTGGGGGTCATGTTGAAACTACATCTAGATCCAGCACCTGGCCATCATATTTGGTGGGTGTGGTCATTGCAGGAACCACTAGGAGGGGATGTCAACCTTCTTCCACCCCCACTCTCTTGTTAGATAATAGTGGCGCTTCAGGATAACATATTTCTACCCAGGGCCAGAGAGACTTGAGTCCTGTACTTTGCATCAACAACTTACAGGTCCTTCACTTGAAACTAGTTTCACAAGCTCCTGATTTTGAGTTCATCCCCAGCGCCCTTTACAGCCCATTCACACATCACTACGCAGCCTAGGCTGGCCTCAAACATTTATCCTGCCTCAGCCTCCTGTAGCAGGGAAGTAGATATGAGGTTTAACCAAATTTGCAAGCTGACCCAGCAAGCACTGGGTTCCAGAGTAACAACACCAACATGTTCCTTTAAGTTATAGAGAAACCTGGGGACGGGATTTGCTGCAGGGTTACATGAAGTTAGTGACTGAAGATTTAGCTCAGGACTTGCGATTTGCAGGTGGGACCCTCTGCATCCCCAAGGCCTATCTTGGACCTGCCTGAGCAAATGTGCCTGGGGGTGGGGGGATTGTCACGATGGCTAGACCCACAGGCCACATGAATGGGTTAATGCCAGGAGGCTCCAGCATGGGGAACCCTGGCATTAAAGCCCAAGACAAGAGGCTGAGGGCCTCAGTAGCCAGTTTTGCTGACAAGCAGGGTCTGCAAGGTGAATGGAGGAACAGTTTTCTCCTAAGTTGTCTTGGGAAAGACAGGGTAGTGGCGAAGACTACCTATGCACCTTCCTTGGTTTGCTAAGGGGGGCTGGGCTGACTCATGTCCACTCCCCAAAGCAGCTGGGAACATGGCCTGTGTGCTGCTTTGGTTCCCTCTGCTGGAGGTGGCAAGGTGCTTCTAGCTCCACCTGTCACCTCATCTAAGGTCCACTACTGAGGGCAGCCAGCCAGGAGATACTGGTTTGTTTCTTTTTTCTTTTTGCCAGCTGTTGTCTTACTTGCTTTCTGGGCCTCCTCCCTGGATGCCACCTCCAGACTCTTGACAGTGCAGCCTTTTAGGTCCCTTGCTTATTCAGCAGGAAGGGCTATGGAGTCTCTTCTTTCTGGCTGGCCAGGGTGGCTGTGCTATGCTCAGGTTGCCAGGCAGGTGGGACACCTTGTGTAGCCTGGAAACAAATCCTTGGGCAAAGTTGTGATGTCCACCCTGGCGGTTCAGTGTACATGAGCATCCTGGACACTTGCCCTGGCTTTAGCCCAGTATGCTCTGTGTATACACACTGGCTCCTGGTCTCTCAGCTTCCTAAGTGTGGTTCTCATTCCATGGGTAGTGTGTGGTGGCCAGCAGGGCTTGACAGAACATTCTATGGGACCTAACTTTTGTCCTGACTCACCTGTGCATGCTTTGGGGATCCTTTGGGCATGGCCTTAGTATGTGAAAGAAACCACTACCCACCTCCTGGAGAGGTGGAACCTAGGGGGATATGAAGCCCCAAGTGGACTGGCTTTGCAACTGGACACAGGAGCCAATGTTTTCCCCAATTTTATGCAGTGTGGAGGTGGGGTGAGGCAGGAGATTGAAGAAAGAAAGTCCCAGGCTTGCACTTTCTGCTCTAGCAGCTTTAGTCTTCAGGGTTGAGGTACTGTCTGGCAGTCCCAGATGAGGTGAAATGAGATGAGGTGACCTAGGAAAGGTATGGGGTTTCCTTCTTGGTGAAATGGGGAGCAGCATCAAGGGCCACCTGGGGGTATAGAAAGGAGACAAAAGCCAGTAATCAAAACTAAAGTCTGGAAACAAATCGGAACATGGCAGCCAATGTCCTACCTCTTGGAGGATTAGGCAGGAGGACCAATGCAAATTTGAGGCCAGCTTGGGCTGTGCAGTGAGTTAAAGGCCAGTCTGGGCTACATGGTGAGGAAACTGTCATAATTGCTGACTGGTGCTGCCCTCCCCAATCTACCCGGTCAAGGTGGAGTGCAGGCAGGAATTGAGTTGGCATCATCTGGGGCCTTGTCAAGGGCCTGGAGTGGTCATTGACAGTCTCCTTACGTAGTGGGAGTTGAGACCCCTCTGCACATCTCCATTCTCTGCCCCAGTTCTCCCCTTGTGGCCAAAAGTCTGATTTTGTCACCCTAGCCCATGTTGAGAGCTCAAGTGGCTTCTGGGAGGGGTCAGCCTGACCACCCCTTGGCTTTTGCCCGAGGCAGAGTAGATCCCTATTATATGGATGGTACCAGCCAGCACTGTGGCAGCAACTTAGCAGAAGGTTAGGTACATCACACAGAGATATCTCTTCTGTACCACTTCCCCAGGACAACCAGAGTGCTTAGCCTCTGCTTGCCTGGCAGAAGAAGGGCCTCCACACCTTGTGTGGTGCAGCTACTGCTGTGGTGGGGTCTTCAGCCCTCCGGCCTGAACTATGGAGATGCAGTCACATGCCGCTCTAGCTGGCATGTGAAGGGAACTCAGTTGCAGGTGCATTAGCGGGCTGCTTGTTTCTTAGGGAGAAGCTCTGGCCTGGCCAAACTCACCAGGACAAGGAGAGAAGTGATGAGCTGGAGGTTCAATGTGAATCCGTGGCTGGGGCCTCTAGAGGCTCTGGAGCTGGGGGTGCCTGGAGGAGAATGGAAAGGCGGAGTGGATTTTCCATCTTCAAAGTCCTCAGGGACTTGTAAGCCTGGTGGCTGTTCCCAGGATATTTGGAGCCAGTATAGCCTGTGGGCTCACAGGAAGGGTAAGAGCAAACATGGCCATGCAATGCTGTGTGCAGGAGGGAAGGCCAAATTGGCAGAAACAGCAAGGCTGGAGACGGCGGAGGGAGGGAGGATGTGAACAGGGGGAGAGGCACTGACCAAGGACTGGGATGAGCATCTCTAACTGGAGACCCTCAGTTTCCTGCAGGAAGTGCAGGGCTTGGTGCATGCAGTCTTGAATGATGGCCTGGGCTGGTGCAGCCCCAAAGAAGGCAGCTTGCACTTTGGCAATCAGTGGCTCCTGCCTGGGAGGATCATTACAGGCTTCAGGGGGCTGGAGAGATGCGGAGAGACCCTCTCATCCAGCCCCGGGACCCGCCCTCCGAACTGAAGACTCACTGGAATTCCTCCACCACCACCTGACCAAAGTTGTGCAGAGGCTTGAGGGCTGAGGTTATCTGAGGTCACAAGACAACAAAGTGTCACAAGGTTACACAGCCTACGACAGCCATACTCCCTTTCTCCATGCCTCTGTCCCCTCATGTCACCCATTTTGTCAGCAGTCCACGAAGCTCCTGGGACTCAGAACTAGTCTTGTTCTCCAAGGACTCGCTGTAGGGGTGACCCAGGATCAGAAGCCATGTCTCATAAAGTGCCAGCTCTGCTTTCTCCCCTAAAGCAATGGGGCAGGGTGGTGATAGCAGTCAGGACTCCTGTCTTCTGATGGATGCTCTGGGGTAGGACCACACTCTGACCCAGGGTTGTTTGCCCAAACACACTGCTTCTGTCCAGTGATCATCACAGTTGGTCTGAGGCCCGTTTTTGCTGCTTGCTTTTGTTAGACTAATGAGGTAAAATGGACTTACATTTTTAAGTGAATGAAAAGTGTCAACAGTAGGAAATTGTATAGTATGAAAAGAATACAATACACAATTTCCATGTTTGTGTATGAAATTGTACTGGAACACAGCCAGCTCATTTGCAGTGATATACCTTGGAGGGCTTGGCTGTGTTCTCCCTGTATAGGAGGAGCTAGGAGCCACAAACTCTCTTTGTGGTTATCTGCCAGCCCATGCTCTAATGTGTCTAATGGAGGGGTGCTGGCTGGCCTGCTCACACAGACAGCAAGAGATCTTTCTGGCCACTGTGTTCTTTACAATCTCTGATCTCCTGGGAGGGGCTCCATAATGACTTGCAGAAATAGATAGCACAGTCCTACTTGAAGAGGAGTGGGTGGTCCCACTGTCTGCTGAGGGGATGATGGGTCCTTTGAGGGTCACCACTGATGGAGCAGGCAGGCCATATGTTGAAAGTAAGCTTCAGGTTGTGGCTTCAGGAGATTGAGAGACCTTGGATCTCTCCGATGGGAATGCTCAACTCTTTCTTTCAGGGGCCGCATGGGAAAATCATGCCATTCTGACCTTGGTGATAGAGTTGACCCATTGCTGTCTCTTCTCTTGGGACATTAAGGATTAAGGTGAGGATTGAGAGCTGACTGGACCATCTTCTCTCTCTGAGCCAAGTTTCCCACAGAGCTTTGAACTCATTTTTGCCTAATGGGCTGGCGCACAAGCTTTGCTGTTGAGAGTTCTGCCCCTGGCAGGTGGGTGTGCAGTGAGACCTAGAGGGATAGACTGACCCAGAGCCATATGTGGGGCCCAAGATCACTCACCATTGGCCACCATGCTGGATTTCTGGAGGGTAGGGTCTGTTATGTGATGGGCCAAGTAACTGGCCAGGCCTCGGAGGTGGGTGGGGATGGGGCTTTTGAACTTGTATTCCATGTAAATGCTCACCCACTCGTTCACGTTGCTAGGGAAGGATGGGAGAGTGCAGTGTCATGGGCTCTTGGTCAATGCATGCTTCTAGAAGCAAGTATTGAACACCTAAATATATGCCCTATATTCCTACTTCCAAAAGCAGAGCTCTGTGAGGCAGATTCAAGCCCGCTTAGACAAAGTCCTTGTTGGTGGTCTCCTGGCTTTGGGTTAGGGGTGTAGTTGCCTTAGTGCTATACCTCCAAGAGAGTAACCAAGTAGGCTGGGGAGGCGAGGATGGGGCAGCAGGGGACTGGGATACTCAACCTACCTGAATAGGAGCAGGGGCTGGTCCTGGAGATTAGTCTTGTAGAATCTTGACACCTCATGGGTGACCTATAGGAAGTCCTGGAGGTCAGGTTGCCTGGGAAATGCCTGTCCTGAGGCCCAGTATGGGGTGGGGTTAGGCTTTAGATAGGTAAGGTAGGACCCGAGAGCTTTCTCTAGTCTAGTGTGGTCTCCTGGGCAGGGATATCTGGTGACAGCCAAGCCACTGACTTCCCTTAGAACTTTCTCCTCCTTAACCAGCTTCCCTTTAGGGCAGGGCTGCCCCTCCTCCATTGCTTGCCTTCCCACATACACCAAGCTGGTGGGCATCATTGCACCCACCACTAAAAGCTGTACAGGCCTGCTGCCAAGGGAGGCAGGGAGAACATCCCAGTACCAGATGCAGGGGAGAGGACACCTCACCAGCTGGAGGATCTGCTTCTCCAACAGGATAAAAGGTTGGGAACCAGGCAGAAGCAGCTGAGGCAGGAAGGGCCTCATGAGTGTGAAGGTAATGTTGATGGTTTCCCTGGTAAGGTCTTCCATGTTGTACTCTGCAGAGCCACATATAGCCACCTTTCCCACCGTGGCCCACTTAGGGCTTGGGTACATTGAACGGGATCCCTCCAAGGAGACCAGCCAGCCTCCTCCATGGGCGGCTGAGGAGGCATAGGACAGACATTGCTCTAGACTCACCATCAGAGGAGAGGCTGTTGTCAGCCAGGGACAGGTGCCCAAGCAACCATCTGGAGGCCTTCACTTTGCGATACAAAGCCCAGAGGATTTCTAGGGCTGAGGGATCCGGCTGATCAAATACGAGTGAGGCTGTCACTTCTGTAGAACCAGGCCTGCAGGAGGGGGGCAGTGGGGGCAAGATAGGCCTGGCTGGTGCAGAAGACAGTGTGCTGAAAGAGAGAGACCCACCAGGCAGCTAGGAGCGGCAGAGAAGAGCCCTGCAGTATGACTGGAGCGATCGTGTGACCCCTTTGGTGCTGGCTGGGGTCCTTGGTAAAAGGGGCTAAAATCCCCTTCATAGAGGGCTGCTGTAAGGCATGAAGGATGCAGGCGGGCGTGCACACAACAGGTGCTCAGTTAAAGTAAGTTCTCTTGGACTCTTCAACGAGCTGGTTCTCACAGGGGCACTGGGAATCTTGACCAGGGAAAGACTGGGGTAAGGTGTTACTCAAACAAACGCCTCAGAATCTAAAATAACACTTGCTTTTTCCTGTGGGCACCTGTGCCATCCCAGGGCTGGGAGACAAATTGGGCTCAGGCTCAGCAGGGAACCAACAGAAGTGGACTTCAGTTTATTAAAAGGGATTTTTTTTTTTCAAGACTGGATTTCTCTGTGTAACCCTGGCTGTCCTGGAACTCACTCTGTGGACCAGGCCGAACTCAAACTCACAGAGATCTGCCTGCCTGTGCCTCCTGAGTACTGGGATTAAAGCTGTGTGCCACCACCACCTGGCAAAAGGGAAAAATTTTGAAGCAGTTGGGATCATGGCCTGGATACTCCTTCCCCCAACTCTGGAGGTAGTCCACTTTCCTAGCAGCTTGGAATGAGAGAGTTCCACCCAATGATTTACATTTATTTACATAACATTTACATGGCCCTGTCCCCAGAATAAGTAGCAGGATGTGCTCTTTGGCTGCCTTCTCACTGTACACAATCCTGATGTCATCATCCAAACCCAACAGCTGGAATTAGGAAATAGCAGGAAGGCCAATTGAGGTCATTTAGCACAGCTGGTGGCAGCAACAAGTGTGGGCCTCTTACCCACCCATCTGGGCCAAGGTGTTCCTGGACACTCAGGCAGGGTTGAGCATCCTGGGCTAGGTCAGTCCAGAACTACACTTACCGAAATAGCAGGGCACTGACGTTCTTGAAGCTGGAGAAGGCCTCATGGTAGATGAGCTGGAGCTGAGGCAGAGGCATGAGGGTCAGCATGCCCACTGATGCCTTGTGTCCCTCCATCTTCCCTGGCCTCTATTTGTCTCATCCTTGATCCTGTTCCAGCTGGACTTTTCCCAGGCTGTTCCCCTCTGGTAGCCTGAGGCTTGTGATTGCTTTGTACTGAGATCCTAACTGGGATCCATCTGTCCAGAGTCTGCACATGTTTTACCTAGGCAGTCCAGTTACCTCTGGGCTTTGCATCCAGCCAACCACCAGCCTGGGCTGCCACTCCCATCCTCATTTACCATAAGTCCTTTGCCAGTCCCTGTCAACAGTGTTCTTTCTGCCCTGAAGCTTGAGAAGCCCTTCAGTGTTCAATGTGGCTACCCTCTCTCCACTCCAGTTAAAATGCTCCCCACTGCCCAGTGCGGTAGTGCATGCCTTTGATCCCTGCACTTAGGAAGATAAGGCAGGTTCACTGTCAGCCTGGGCTACACAGTGGGGACCTGCTCAAACAGATACAAGCAACAAACAAACCAAAAAAAAAAAAAAAAAAAAAAAAAAAAAAAAAACTCAACCAACCAAATAGACATAAAATCCACAACCAGGCCAGATGTGGTTAACACATTGAGCTTTACAGCACTTCGGAGAGGCATGCCCAAGGACCAATTCAAAGCCAGGTTAACCCTGTTTCAAAACAAAAAGTAAAACAAAACAAACAAACAAACAAAAAAACCAAACCAAAAAGAGGACTGGGCCTGGTGGCACATGACTTTAATCCTAGTATTTGGGAGGCAGAGGCAGGTGGATTTTTGGAAGCCTGGTCTACATGGTGAGTTCTAGGCCACCCATGTTGCACAGTGAGAACTTGTCTCAAAACAACTAACTAAATAAATAAATAAACAACAACAACAACAAAAGGAGGACCCATTGCTGGGGTGGAGTGGTCACCCAGTGTGTGCAAGGCTTCCTAAATTCCTTCCTACAGCTTGTCTGTCATGATTGTAATCTGGTTTCCATCAGACCCAAGGACTGTAGGTCCTATGGTAGGAGCAGTCCTTTGTGCCTGTTATTTCCTGATTACATACAGAAATGAACCATTCAACAGGAGAAATGGCAGCTCCTGTCCAGGATACCTGCCCTGCTCCTGGTTCCAGAATTAAGGCAGGAACTGTGCCTCACTCTGCCAGGGCATCAGGATCCTGAATAAGGCAATATACTGATAAAAAGCTAGCAGCTGCACAGTGAGGACCTGTTCTATTTCTGGTAGGTGAGGCCTCCCGACTGTGAGATTTTCCCTCTGTAATGACTTCTAAGAAGTATTTCTGCCTAGCCTTTCCTCAGACTTCTCCTGGGAGCACAGCATGGCATCCATTAGATTTTATTATTTTGTATCTAGCTGCTCTTAGGAGCCAAGATCTGTGTAACTAGTGTTGTGGCTGTGCCTGGCATACTCAGAAGAGAAGCAGAACAGAAAAGAGTGTCTTCATCCATATCCCTCTACCCGGGGAACAGGTGCCACACCTGGTAGCAGATAAGCCTATTACTCAGCAGTCTTCGATTCAGGGGTATCAGGTTCCAGAAAGCTGTGGTGAAGCATTTACTGTTGATCCTGAAGGTCACAGAGTGGGTCACATGACTAGGTCCTGGCGTGGAGGAACTCAGGTCCTGCAAAAACACTTCTTGACCAGAGTGAGGCAGGGTAGAGGACTGGGTAGAGACAGTACCCCCAGATAACTCTGTGAAGCCAGAGCTACGTGGGGCAGAGGGAGGGTTGGAAAAATGTTGGAGGGAGAGATTGGGCAGGTAGATCAGGCTGTTAGGAATCCGTGGCCCAGGATGACTGGGTCGTTGGGCCATTGGGGGTGCAAGGTTCGAGGTTTGAATGGGAGGGTCTGCAGTTGAGAGTGCAGTCACAGACACAGAAGGTTTAGGAGGGTCCCTGGCCCCTGTGGTGATAGAGGAAACTGGGGCTGGGATTGAAGGTGGTGATGGAAAGAGTAACAAAGATGCAGGTGGTAGGGATGAAGACAGGAGCAAAGCTGATGAAGAGGGTGGAGAGCAGGGGGAGGATGGATGTGAAGGTGATGTTGCCGAGGACAGCAGCAACACAGGAGCACCACTGCATACTGAGCCTGTGCCCAAAGCTGCAGTGTTTTCAGATGACCCAGAGTCCACTGTAAAGGCTTGGGAGGTCAGGTCTGATCCTGATCTCCCTGAAGATGCAGATAACAGAAGCTCTGTAGTTTTCGGTATGTTAGGCATCCATGGAAAGATAGGCAATCCTAAGGGGCTCCTTGGAGCCGGTGCTACAGGTGGGGATGCCTCTGGTCTGGAGTGGCCGTCCCTCCACGCAGGGGGACAAGAGGTGTTCAGTAACAGGCATGGAGCTCTAGGGACTATGGGGAAAAGGGAAGCCCTGATTGGATGCCATGTTGGTTTAGACGCAACAATTGTCTCCAATGATGCAGAGGCAGGGATGGTCCAATACAACTTGGGGACCTTGCTGAACATCTGCTCAGATCCATGTGTGGGAGAAGGCTGTGGCAATGACATAGCAATTGTTTCTAGAGTTCCAGAGGCCAAGTTTTCCTCTACAGGGTCAACCCCAGAGGATACTGGCTGAGAGTCAACAGTCATGTGGGCTACAGATGCTTTCAGGACTGAGGGGATTGGTCCATGTATGTCCCTGCCTGAGGGCCTAATATTTCTTAAGGGGCCAGGCATTGAGGGGGACTTCTGGCCCCCCACTGCCTCCGAAGAAAGGGCTCCTGCCCTCCTCTCCAGGGCCTCCGATTCCTTCTCAGCTGAGTTGATGCCACCAACAGTTTCTGTCAGGATGCCCAAAATGCCGCTGCTTTGCCGAACAGATGTGTCAGAGGCTGAAGGAACCTGGTTAAGGTCTTCATGTGTAGAGAGAAGGGTCAGGGTAGAAGCTGAGACTATCAGGAGGCCTGCAAAGCAAGGCAGGCCTGGTTCTCCAGTGTCTGGTGGGCAGGATTGACCTAGCCTCTCAGACCTCACCCTGTCACATCTGGCTCACTGAGAGCAACACCCAGGCCAGGTTAGGCCCCAAACCATGAAGCTAGTCACTCAAGTTACCTCTCCTCCCCAATTCTAGCCTGGCCGATACCAGGGATGCCTTTACCTCCACCCAGGAATAGACACTCTGAGGACAATGTGACATGCCTTCAGGGTTTGTCATCTGTCACCTTGCCTCCATGTCAAGGACCTTCCCAAGGAGAAGTCTCTCGGGTATAAGTGGTCACTAGGAGTTGAGTCTTGCATACTCTATTCAAACCATGTCTGAAGCCTAGACTAGCTTGATGGGGCTGAAAATACTGTCTGATTCTCTACTGTGGGTGAGGCTGTGACCTGACCACATTCCCTGCACACAGGGCTCTTCTTAGGGGCTGACTGGGTGGTGGAGCACGTACATAGGGAATGTTTGAAGGCTCCAGGGTTAATGCTAAACCTCCCTACACATATATACAGCTCCAAGCAGGTGACCGTGAGTGTTCTCAAGGAGCCTGAGGTCTCCAATCTTTCCCTAGCGTCCCTCAGGCTGGTCAAGGCGGGGAAGGTGTAGACAATGAAGGGAAGCCCTGAGGTGGGAATCATGGAGTTTGCTGAGGATTCTGCCCTTCCTTACCAAGTAAACAGGTGATGGGGAGAGGGAAGCCAGCTCACCTACCCCTTCCCTACTCACCAGCCAGAATTCCAGCTGCAGGAAACCATCGTTTGTCCATGCCTCAGGCTCCTGCTAAGACTTCCAAGGATGCAGTGCCAAGTGACAGACAATGATGACCTTTGCAAGTCCCCTTCAGGAAAGGACTCATCAGGTTGGGGTAGAACTTAATGTAGAGCTCTTGCCTAAAATGCTGGATGCCCCGAGTCCCACCCCCATCACTCAGCTATCCACTTCTGCCAGTGGTTGTTCAGAGTTAAATGTCATTTTGGGCATGGAGGAAGCCCTGAGTGAGTGAAGTCCTGAGTGGATGTGTGCTGTTGACATGGGCTTGGCCCTGTGACAGATGCCAATGCCTCAGTCCCATGGGAAATGGCAAAACCTTTCCTAGGCAAGGCTCCCCTACCGACTGCTTGTATTGAAATATGTTAAACCTGCCTCCTTCCTTGTTCAGCAATATATAAACCTCGACTCCTTGTTTATCTGTGTGCATTAACCCCACCTCCTTGATTTAGCAGTAAACAATGACCCCACCTCCCTGGTCAACTGTATATGATAAACATGCTGTGGTCTATTAGAGAGCCTAGGCCACCCAGTCCCAGATTTTCTGTGCATGTGACCATGTCTGTCATTTCTTTATTCCTTCACCACCCCAGTCAGGTCAATTCCTGGAGCTATGATGGATGAGGAAAACCTGTCTTCAGGAGAGGAGGGAGTTCCAGTGGCATTTTGGTGGTAGGGGATATAATGACCATGGTAATCAGAGATGCGTTATAAGGGTAACAAGGTGCTGTGATGTGGGAGTGTGTGTGTGTGTGTGTGTGTGTGTGTGTGTGTGTGTGTGTGTGTGTGTGTGTGAGACAGAGAGAGAGAAGATCTTCTACTCAAAGCCCCTGCCCTGCCTCTGTCCTATTCCATCAGACAGGGAGGGCCTGGATTATGGCAGATCTGGAGAGAGCCCCATTCATGTTAGTGGTCCTTCCTAAAGTTCTGGTCAGAGCCATGAACTAGGTATGTGGGGATGGCAGGGGCTTTGGGTAGAAGGGTCCTTTACAGACCTTTATCAAGCTGCAGTTTTGTGTCTGCCCTGCCCATGTTGGTTAGGGTTTTGATTGTTTGTTTGTTTGTTTTTCATCTTAACTCAAGCTAGAGTCATCTTCTGAGGAAATGCCTCCATAATATTGGTCTGTAGCAAGTCTATGGGAGCATTTTCTTGATTAATGATTGATGTGGGTGGCATGCCACGCCTGAGCAGGTGGTCCTGGGGTATATTAGAAAGCCAGCTGAGCAAGCTGTGGAGAACAAGCCAGTGCAACACAGCCTTCCTCCATGACCTCTACTTCAGTTCCTGTCTCTATGTTCTTGCCCTGAGTTCAGCTTTCTCTTTGCCTGGTGATGGACTGTAAACTATAGGCCAAACAAACCCTTCCCTCCCTACGTTGCTTTTGGTCATAGTCTTTATCACAGCAATAGAAAGCTAAGACATGCTCACCCACACTGCTGGAGCCTGGCATAGGCAGCCTTGAACTCCTTAGCACCCTTGGCTCAGGGATAAACAGGGAGCAGGCTCATGCCTCAACCCTCTAACTCTTGCTTGCAGCCGTTCTGATCATGTCTCCTGGCCTCTATGGACCAACCCTGTTTCCGGGTCAATACTTTCTTGGTCACCAAAGCCTTGATAAGGAGAAAATAACTAGAACCCTGAAGGAGGGAATTCTCCATTAGCAACTGGGCCTGGGGAGTCCCAGCCAGGATCCTACCAACCTGCAGCTCCTTCTACTTGGGCACATCCCTCCCACCTGAAGGTGTCTGTCTGTCTTTTTAGTTATATTGCTTAACTGACTGTTGAAGCAGGACTTTACCATGTTGCACAAAGGTTCTACCTGTTATATTCCCAGTCCTTTAATTTTTCTTTTTTTAAATCTTGAGACATTGTCTCACTAAATGGCTCAGGTTGGTCTTGAAATCACTCTGTAGCCTAGACAGTTCTTGAATTGCAAGCTTCCTGCTGCAGCCTTCCTAGTAGCTGGGGTTAGATTCCTGTATCAATAGGCACAGTTGCTAGAAATATTTTCTAAGAGGTAAAACTGTCGCCTATGGCACAATTCTACCCCAGGTCACAGATCCACAGTTCTACAGGCCTTCCCGTCCAACTCACTCTCTTGGCTTCTCTGACATTTGCTATGTGTAGGCCGGTGCACTACTGTATCTCCGAGGCTGCTGCCTCTTCCCTACTATCCTTGGAGAGACATTTCAATGCTGGGCTGAGAAATGCTATGGGAGAGATGCCTCCCAGGAACATGAGACAGCTTTGGCTTTGACATCTCCCACCTGCAATCCTGGTTCCGCTATGCCCATTCTCCCCGAAGCGGCCCCTTCCCAGTCCCCAAGCCTGTAAACACACTTCTGTGTGTCTCCTTCCCTCGCTTGTGTTCCCTGGGTGCCCAGGTCTTACCTGGTATCCCTGGTGCTGCCAAAAAGCCTCTGCCCTTGAGGAGGAGACTAGAGCTTGGTGTGATCACCCTCTGCTCCACCCCTGTCAGGTGGGCAGGACTACTGCTTTCCCAATAGCCTAAGGTTAAGGAAGATCCTGATGGCTCTATTATAAAGAGTGAGGCTTACTCATAAGACTCTCTGCCCCTCTGCCCTCCTGCAGGCCAGACTGGGCTCAAACTGTCAAACTGGAGAAGTTCATTTGTTGAGGCCACAGTGGAAAAAGCTGTAGCTGCCTAGGGAGCCAGCCTTGTGGTATGTACTTTAATCCTAGTACTTAGAAGTCAGAGGCAGGGGGATTATCACAAGTTTGAGGGCAGCCAGCTTGGTCTACATAGTGAATTACTGTCTAAAACTTAAATAAGTAAGTGAGTAAGTAAATAAATGAGACCAAACCAGTCCGGACCTCCAGGCTCAGAAGCCTGGCTCTCAGGAGGCTAAGGCAAGAAGATTGTAAATTCAAGGCCTGCCTAGGCAACTTATCAATATCTTGTCTCAAAAATAAGAGAGGACTAGAGGTATACTTCAAGCCATAGAATTCTTTTCTAGGAGTAACTTTGCAAAGATTCTTGGTTCCAGCCCTAATAGGAAGAGAGTGAAACCAGGGTTCAGTGTGTATGAGAGATGAAAGCTAATTTATAGTTAGAATTAGTACTCAGTCTGTGACAAGTGTCTGGGCTCACTGTGGACTAGGGCTAGGCAAGTTTAAGACTGGCAGGGGGTTGTTCTCCCTGCTGACTCTGGGTCCCCAGCCAGATACAATGCCACCTATACATGGAGTAAGTTAAATGGATTCTGGCCCCACACCAATGTCTCAAAATGTCAACAAAATTAGAAGATCTGTAAGTGCTAGGCTGTACCAAGGTCTGGCCCAAGGGTTTGATAACATTTTTTCTTGTGGGCCAATTTTGATCCTCTGGTCAGGACTCTCTTGGCTCTCTAGCAGGGTTCTCTTCCTCTTAAAGCTCTATGGCCCTGGCAGCCACACTCCAGCCCTATCACGCTCTGGTCCCTAATACAGCTAAGTGTTCGGGAGACCTCTTACCCTAATGACTAAGTCACGGATTCCCACAGGCTGTATCTTACCTGGTACCCTCTGCAGGAGGAGATGTTATTCACTGTTTTCCTGTGTCCCTGGCTCAAAGACGGAGTGTGCACATACTCAAAGGGTCTTGAGAGGGGTTAGTAGGTAGGATGGAACCTTCTGGGGTTGGGTTCTGAGCCAGATAGACATTTACCTAGACACACAGACAGATGGACCAGCAGATGCTCAGCTTTGCTTAAACAGCTTCCAACAGGAACTTTCCTCATTGCAGGAATGGGGCACCAAGATGGGCTCTCCTTCCTGATACCCTCTTCCTGGATCCCATCCCACACTCTGTTTGAGGAAGAGTAGCATGGAATCTTTCACTACTCAGGAGACCTCCAGTCCCTGGATGTCATCTTAGTCATCAGAGAGGATACTCTGACAGCCTGAGGCTCAACCCAGCAGGACAGGACTAGCAGCTCCTCTGGAGACCAGGCAGAAAAGAGTGAGATGCCTAAGAACCTGCCTAGTTGTCTGGAGCGGTCTTTGTGGGGCTGCAATCGGAGCCAGCTGAGCGGCCCCAGGTCCATACCTGAGTGGGGGAGTGTGGATGAGGGAAAGGCTAACTACAGACGATAAAGTCAGAGAGACAGAATAAAGGTCAGGAGGGCAGATCAGTCAATACTGAAATGCCACAAGTTTATTTTTTACCACTCTTTTATACCTTGTCCAACAAGGGGAACACAGTATCATGCATAAGGAACAACCAGACTTTTCTTCCTCACTTATTCTAAGGGTTCAGTAACCACACCTTAGCTCCAACTTC